TCTATCCTTATGACTGTACCACACTATTTTGATTACCAACTTGCTTTGGAGTAAGTTTTGAAATTGGCACATGTAAGTTCTCCAACTTAGTTGTTCTTTTTTTAAAGATTGTTTTTACTCTTCTGGATCCCTTTTAATTCCATATGAGTTTTAGAATCAGCTTGACAATTTCTACAAAGAAGCCAGTTTGTATTCTGATAGGGATTATGTTAAAACTAGATAATTTAAGGGCTGTTGCCATCTTAGCAATATTAAGTCTTCCAATTCATGAACAAGGGAATTTTTATATATATTTAGATAATCTTTAATTTCTTACAACAATGTTTTTTGGTTTTCAGACAATAAGTTTTGTACTTCTTTTGTTGAATTTATTCTTAAGTATTTTATTCTTTTTAATACTTTAAATGGAATTGTTTTCTTAATTTCATTTTTGAATTCTTCATTGCAAGTGCCTAGAAATACAATTAACTTTTGTATATTGATTTGGTATTCTGCAGCCTTGCTGAATTCATTTGTTACTTCAGTAGTTGATTCCTTAATTGTTTTTTTTTTTTTAATTATTTTTTTTATTTTGGCATATTATGGGGGTACAGATTTTAGTTTCAATAAATGCCCATTTCCCTCCCCCAAAAGTCTGAGTCTCCATCATGACCATCCCCCAGATGGTGCACATCTCACTCACTATGTATGTATATACGCCCCCTCCCTCCCACCTGCCAATACCCTACTTACTGTAGACCTATGGTCCACTTAGGGCTACTCAGTTAATACCAGTTTGCTGGAGAATATATCTGGTGCTTCCTTTTTTCTCTTTTTTGGAGACATCAGCCACGGACTTTCTCTTTGAAAGTTTTAAATGGAATAATCTCATGATCACTGCGGGGGGCTGCGAGGTGTCCCGCCTCCCCGTCCGGACCGTTGGAATCTGAACTCTGCTGTATTTCAGCAACAGGATAAAGACGCGCATCTAAATTTCTGAATTTCTTGGTGTCACTAAATTTCTTTGCTATCTTTCAGGACCTCAGCCCGTCTTTCAGAAGTTCCCTTTAAGGACCTTTCTCAAGGGCAGATTCTGCCTCTGGGAGCATTTGCATAAGAAAGCATTGGCTTCTCAGGCCCAGGCTGGGAGCTCAGGGAGGGAAAATTCCTGGCTACCACTTTGAGCTTAAGTTCACCTTTAGACTCTTTTCGCTTCTCCACTTTTTCTTTCATCGACCCATACTCAGGGCCCACAGCCATCTTCACAGGCTTGCTTTCTTTTTGGCCTGATGCAGACGGAAGGTTGCAAATTACATCCTCCTTCCTGCAAACCCCATGCTCTGAATTCTCTACTGCACTTTTTTTTTTTTTTTTTAGGACGGGATTCTCCATCTCACCAAAAAGACCTGAGTCTAGCTCAGAATCAAGAATTCTTCCCCATTATTTTTTGTTTATTTATTTTTTTGAGACAGAGTCTCACTCTGTCCCTGGCATCAGCCCAGCTCACTCTGTCCCTGGCATCAGCCCAGCTCACTCTGTCCCTGGCATCAGCCCAGCTCCCAGCAACCTCAAACTCCTGGGCTCAAGCGATCCTCCTGCCTCAGCCTCCCGAGTAGCTGGGACTACAGGCATGCGCCACCATGCCCGGCTAATTTTTTCTATATGTTTTTAGTTCGCCAATTAATTTCTTTCTATTTATAGTTGAGACGGGGTCTTGCTCTTGCTCAGGCTGGTTTTGAACTCCTGACCTTGAGCAATCTGCCCACCTCGGTGTCCCAGAGTGTTAGGATTACAGGTGTGAGCCACTGCGCATGGCCGCAAGTATTCTTAAATACCAATTCCCGAGGCTTTCACCTCTCCTTTCTTGGTGCTGACATCCTGGTCCCCTGTGGTGCAATATGGAGAGCTTCTTCACTCCAGTGAAGCCATTTATCTTAGGAAACATGCAGAAGAAACCTGCCGAAAAAATCCTGCAAAACCGTATCCAGCCCAAAAATGTCCTGCCGGAGTCCTGCCTACTAGGCCAGACTGCAGGGGAGTAGTTGAGGCAGGCCCACGGCGAGATCAGCTGCTTCTCTCCACGGAGCCAGTTCCCTAAGATAAGGGTCGCCACAGAGGATAAGGAAATTGATAGGCAACAGAGAGAAATAAAAGAATACACAGAGACTAAGATATAGTTTATAGTTTTATATATATAAAAAGATCAGATATAACACAGCGGGGTACTCAGGAGACTGGCGTATCTCCATGAACGCCAGCAATATGGTTAGATTCATACAGGTTTTTATAATCACAGAAATTAATCAATTACCAGTTGTCAGGGTAACATATTTGCATATCAGGGAATGCAGTTGCTAGGGGATACAGGTAGTGGGTTAGGGTCAAAAGTCCTCTCAAGGGGCTTCTAATCTACCTAGGTGAACAAACAGGTACAAAGTCTTTCAGGGGCTAACTTTTAAATTCTAAGAGGTAGTAGTTGTCAATTAACAAAGGTATAACAAAAGAGGTTTAGTGACTCTGTATTTCTTTGATTAGTTATGGTGGACTTAAAGGTAGACAGACAGGAGAGAGCAGGAAACCCGTCTCTAATAACCAGGTTGTTTATAACCACTGGGTGCTTCTCTGGGCAAAGTGCACTCATTGTCTCTGGCTCCCATCCTGTGGGCCATATTTGCCTTGTCTTGTCTTTCAAGACACAGGGAAGCTCACAGATTTTGAGATACGGGGAAGCCTTCCTGGAAAACATCCCTACTGGAGATTTGAGAGCTCTCCCATGATAGCAGCCTCTAATAAGTGAACTATTGAGTCCACACATTCCTTCAGGGTGAAACCCTGCAAACTCCTGTTTCTGTCTTTAATATAGTAATATTGGGTTATCCCATAGAATAATGATCGTATATGAGCCATGTTTCATTAATTCCTCAATCATATTTCTCAACAGGGGTATCCTGCTGGGTGGCCAACCTAACTTGAAAGGTGGTTAAGGAAAGAGGAAGATCTAAGTGGGTGGTCACACCAGGAATGTCTAAAAAGTAACAGGGATCAGGGATGGCAGATGTTTGTCTTGGTTAGATTTGGGAAGATGCTGGCAAATCCAACAATTAGATTTTCCCCCTTTTATCTTAAAGATGTTATGGTTAGAGTAAAATAACTAAGGGTCCCTACTGGTTACATTATCTTAGCTAAGCATGCTCACATTCTTGTGACTTGGTGGTCCTATTGTTCTTCTCACCCTGCCCTGACTGCCTGCAGGGCATCTCACTCCTCTCTCATATTTAAGTTTTATTTGAAAATATTATTCCACATGATACACCCTGGAAAATAGTTTTATCAGGGTTTTATAGGTTGCAAATTTTCTCTAGGTCAAATTTACATACATAATTTCTATTTTCCTAAATGTCAGTGACTTTTGTCATCGTTTATGTTATTGTCCATTTTTACTTTGAATTGCCAGTTCATATCCTCCATCAATTTTTACATTAGATTGTTTATCTTTTTGGTTAGGGATTTGTAGTAATTTGTAGTAATTCTTAATATACAATGGGCACCAAGTATTTTGTTATATGTGCTTTAGAATAAGTTTGATGTAGTTAATTTAGGTTTCATGCATCATAAAACAACATTTTCAACTATGGCTGTATATTCTGTTTTTCTGTAATTATGTGTCAATTGCTGGATTATTTGTATGGAATATTCTGTTATAAACTCTTCACATAATTTCCCTAGCATCAAAGTTTTAGTTTTTTTTTTTTGAATAGCAATGGGTATTTATTTCAAATGAAGCTTCTTCAAAGTTTTAGTTTTTTTTTAAAAAAATCATGTATTAGGCCGAAGAATATTTGTTGTGAGACATTGATGTGATAAGACTTCTTACCAATAGAGATAACTAGATTTTTTTGTCAACCTGCAACATTTTGATCATAAAGTGCTTCCATGATGTGCAGATTAAAAGAGGGCCTTAGGAATTACTATAGTTTTATTTAATTATTTTCTATACAATTTATGTAATTTTTTGTATTCTTTGCATTTTTGTTGATTATGGCCAATTATAGGGTGCTTAGATGCAAAAGAAAATGATGGTTATCTTACTTTTAGTCATGCCAAAGGATGTCATGTTTCTACATTAGGATTATGGGAGAAATGAAGCAACAGGCTTCTATAAAAAGAAACAAAAATTAGACATGATCATCCAAAGCATGGTTATATAGACTAAAAGTCATTATTTCAAACTGTCTTCAACAAACATATTGAGTTTTATAACATACCTGTTAGGTAGTTAAGTGAGGCTATGTCTTATTTGGAAACAAATATACATAGGTTTGTACATGTATGTTTAGAGAGATTGAAAATTCAATAAGTCCCTTTATAGTGCTATAATATCCTATATATAGATATCTTATATGTAATATTCCTATATTGTCACACTTTAAAGTTGAGACCCTACATCTTTTATAAAAGGCTGAAAAAGGGAGTGAAATCATTCTGCTAAATCTTTAAAATGGCCTTAAAAATTGGTTTGTGAAACCAAAGAGTTTGTAAAGTAGTTCCATTTTACTGTGGGAAACAGGTAGTAGTCACTATATTTCTAATTCCACATACATTCCCCTGGGAAATACCTTAGGTTGTGAGAAAGTAAATAAATGTCTTGCCATATCTTTTAGGAAAGAGGTACACTGGGGCTGCATGTCCAGTAAAAGCCAAGTAGCACCATTGGTCTAACAATATCAAAAGGAAGGAAGAGACCTTTTACTGAAATTAATCATTGAATAGTTTCTTCAGTAACAATTAAAAGAACAAAATTCTGCTCAAAATGAAGTCAAAGTTTTCTGAGTATTAGCAAAACAGTCTTGATATTATGAGTGGACTTCTCAATGCTCTTCTGTCCATGTACAATGTGTGAAACATAGTTAAGTTCAATGCATGTTTTGTGCTATAACTTATAAATTAGAACAATAAATTTAACTGGAAACTCATTTATTTTACATTATTTTTACTTTTTCCTAGTCCCCCCCCCCCCCAGTATTTGACATGGAATATTTCTAACTTTTAAACAGGTACTAAATCTCTGGAAAACAAATTTTGACTTGAAGTAAGTACGGAAAAGATGTTCTGTCACAGGAGGAGGAGAATTCGCCATCACAACCCCTTCTTGCTGGAATAGACTGCAGACCCATCCTCAGGCATCCCAGCTTCAGCCCTCGCTGTAACTACTCCATTTTCTTCTTCTTTCCTGCTGTAGCAAACATCCGGCAGAAACACAGACAACACTTTGTGATGACGAATATAGCAGTGGCCACACAGGCCAGCAGGAACCCAAGCACATCCAGAGAGTGGTACTGGAACCAGGGGAGGTCGTGGGCTGCAACCCGAAGGTGTTTGGCTCCTTTGTGGCGCATGACAAACTCGATCCAGAAGACTGCTCGATCGAGAGGCTTCATTGGCTGATCATGGTGAATTCTTGATAATTTCATAGCATTCTCTTTATACCTGAAGGAAAAACATCAACATTCCAACATCAAAAGTACATTTATTGCCTAAACATCTAAAATCCAAGAAAGATTTTTGAAAAGTATCAAAATTAATGCCATAGACTTGCCTTAGAGAAGTACACTTATACTTGGGTGATTATGGAAAGTTTGGCTTTTATTTACTTATTGTTTTGAGACAGAGTCTCACTTTGTTGCCCAGGCTAGAGTGTCATGGCATCAGCCTAGCTTACAGCAACCTCAAACTCCTGGGCTCAAGCGCTCCTCCTGCCTCAGCCTCCTGAGTAGCTGGGACTACAGGCATGCACCACCATGCACGGCTAATTTTTTCTATATGTTTTCAGTTGTCCAGCTAATTTTTTTGTATTTTTTTTTAGTAGAGATGGGGTCTCACTCTTGCTCAGGCTGGTCTCCAACTCCTGAACTCAAACGATCCACCTATCTCAGCCTCCCAGAGTGCTAGGATGACAGGCGTGAGCCACCGCGCCTGGCCAAGTTTGGGTTTTATGTAGAAATTTTCTCATTAACAAATACATACATAAAAGCATATAGGAAAAAAATATATACATCTGTTTGCTTATTTATTTTTTATAGAGATGAAGTCTTACTCTGTTGCCCAGGCTGGAGTTGGTGACATGATCATAGCTCACTGTAACGACAAACTCCTGGCTCAGCCTCCTGAGTGGCTAAGACTAGAGGAGTGCTCCACCATGTCCAGGCTAGTTTATTTTTATTTTTATTTATTATTTTTTTTTTTTTTTGAGACAGAGTCTCACTTTGTTGCCCAGGCTAGAGTGAGTGCCGTGGCGTCAGCCTAGCTCACAGCAACCTCAAACTCCTGGGCTCGAGCGATCCTTCTGCCTCAGCCTCCGAGTAGCTGGGACTAAGGCATGCACACCATGCCGGCTAATTTTTTATATATATAGTAGTTGGCCACATTAATTCTTCTATTTATAGTAGAGACGGGGTCTCGCTCTTGCTCAGGCTGGTTTGAACTCCTGACTTGAGCAATCGCCCGCCTCGGCTCCCAGAGCTAGGATTACAGGCGTGAGCCACGCGCCCGGCCTTATTTTTAAATTATTATAGAGATGGGGTCCTACTGTGCTGCCCAGGTTGGTCTCTAACTTGTAATCTCAAGTGATCCTCCCGCCTTAGCCTCCCAAAGTGCTGGGATTAGAGGTATGAACCACCACACCAGCCAACAAATACTTTTAATATCAAAAGTGGAAAGTTAATATCTTTCTAGCAGAGGAAGAGAATATATGAGCCATTCTCAGTGTTATAAGTAAGATAGTGGAAATGCAAGCTGAGGATGGTCGTCTTGATTTTAAAAGGGAATCCTGTCATGATGGTTGAAATGCCTCCTAACCGGTCTCTCTGCTGCTACTCTCCTCCTCTGTCTTCTACACTCTGTTTCCCATCTAGTACTCAGAATGAATTTCTTTTAACAAATGTCATGTAAATTATGCTCCCTGGTTAAGATTTCCATCTGGCCTCTCATCCATTAGATATAAATCGAACTCTGCTCTTTGGTCTACAGGTTCCTACATCATCAGGCTCTGGATCATCTTCCCTTAATACTTTCCCCTGGTGCACTGTCTTCTAGGGACATAGACCCTCTATTGTCCTTTAAGCGACCACGTGCTTTCTCACCTTAGCACCTGTAAGGTTTGTGTCCCCTCTCTCTCTCTTTGTGCATTCTTCCTTGAAACCACAAAAGCTTTGCCTCTATCTCTTTTGAGGCTTCCCCTTAAATGTTCTCTCTCAGAGAGGCTTCTCCTGGTGTGGTAGCACATGGGTAGGACTTCCTGTTTCTTTAATGTGCTTATTTTTCTTTTAGATGTTAGAATTTTAAAACATGTTGTATATCCTTTCAAATAAACACTTAAATGTGAAATACATAAGATAAATGTATATACTCTAAGTAAGCAGCTTAAATGTTCAAAATTAACTCAAAAATTATTATGAAGACACTGTATACATATTACTCAGATCATAATATTTGGTATCACACCTGTCTAGTAGTATCCCCTTTCCATAGAACATTTTAGTCACTACTCCCATCTTCAAATTAAGTATTATCCTGACTTCTAACACCGTAGATTAGCTTTGCTTATTTATGTAACTGAGTCATATAGTGTGTCCTTATTTGTGTCTGTATTTTTTGTAGCAGTAGTTTGTTAATTCCATTGCTATGTAGTATCTCTTGCTTGACAAAGGTTACAAATTATCTTTTCATATTATGATTGACAGACATTTATGATGTTAACATTTTTGAACACTACTAATAATTCTGATATAAACATTCTAGTATATATATCATCAGGTTTATATGTTTATACATTTTTGCTTCTTATATACTAGGGTAGGAATTATGGAGATGAATGTACATATATAATTGTGACTTTCTTGTTGACTGAATTTTATCAAAATGTATTTTTAATTATTAAAATGTAAAACTGGAAACCTAATGTCATTTAAAAGAAAAAAAAATGTAAAACAAATGATCATTTCTTTGACTATTTCTAACATATATAGTATGGCTAGACCATATATCTTTATGATTTTGAATCTTTTAAAATTTATTGACTATTGATCTATAACCCATTATATGGCCTATTCAGGTAACTGAATTTCATATATATTGCATATGTATTTGCTACACATAATTATGTACATGCATATCACATGGGTTACTTTATTTTTTTACCATTCACAAAAATGTATTTGGGGCCGGGCGCGGTGGCTCACGCCTGTAATCCTAGCTCTCTGGGAGGCCGAGGGGGGCGGATCGCTGGAGGTCAGGAGTTCGAAACCAGCCTGAGCAAGAGCAAGACCCCGTCTCTACTATAAATAGAAAGAAATTAATTGGCTAACTATTAAATATAGAAAAAATTAGCCGGGCATGGTGGCACATGCCTGTAGTCCCAGCTACTTGGGAGGCTGAGGCAGCAGGATGGCTTGAGCCCAGGAGTTTGAGGTTGCTGTGAGCTAGGCAGACGCCACGGCAGTCACTCTAGCCTGGGCGACAAAGCGAGACTCTGTCTCAAAAAAAAACACAAAACATGTATTTGGGATGAATTATAAACCTATATGTAAAGCCTAGTTTCATAAAGTTTCCAAAGAAAATATAGGAAGATATCATAACTTTGGAGAAGATAAAGTTTCCTACACAGGATGCAAAAAGCTCTCACAACAATGGTTTTGGTTAAAATGTGTTCTCCAAATGTTTTATGTCCTTAATCATTATTTTGTCTTTTCTTTATCTGTTTAGATTTAATATAAGTACTGGTGTATCTACATTCATATCTAACATCTTATTCTGAATTGTTTCTTCTATTTTTCCAATCTGTTCTATGTTTCTTTTCTAATTTTTTCCTGCCTTCTGTTAAAGTATTTTTACCATTTATTGTCCCACTATTTTCTTCTTGATTAAATATTTTAAAGTATCTCTTCAAGTGATCCCTCCTTATATACCAATCTTACTGATGGTAGAAATAAATGCTGAATGGATAGTAGCTGGTCTAGGCATAGAATTTTCCAAATTATTTCCTATGGAGTATGGAAACAGTTAATTATTAAAGATGTCTTTTATCAAAATGAAAAATTTTGTGCTTTAAATAATATCATCAAGAATGTATAAAATCAACCTGCCCAGAATGGAAGAAAATATTTGAAAATCATAAATCTGATAAGGGATTATAACCATAATATATAAAGGAGTGTTATAAGTCCTTTATAAAATAAGTTAAAAAATAGCCTAATGTTCAAAAGATTAAAGTAGAACCATCTCCAAAGAAGATAATCAATAATCAGTAATCACATGAAAAGATGCTAAATATTTTTAGTCACAGGGAAATACAAATCAAGACCAATGAGTGACACTTTTCACCCAGTACAATGCCTGAAATATGAAGACAGATGGTAAGTGTTGGGAATAGTGTGAAGGAATCGGACTCCTCCTATGTTGCTTATGATAATGCAAAATTGTGCATGTGCTTTGGAAAACAACTTGGCAGTTTTTCATAGACAAAAAGTTCCCATATAGCCCAGATATTATTAATATTCCATTAATAATATCTCCTCCCAAAATATCAAAACATATTTTCATGCAAAAACATGGATAGCAATCTTTATAATTGGAAAGAAGGAAAATTTCCATGAGCTAATGAGTGGATAAATTAATTGTGGTATATCCACACTAAAGATTATTATGCAGCAATAAAAGGGGACAAAATACTGATACATGCAACCACATGGATAAAGCTAAAACACAATATGCTTAGTGAAAAAGCTATTTCCAAAGCACCATAAATTATATGATTCCATTTATAGCAGACTTCTAGAGAGGGTAATCAATAGAGAAAAAAATTGGTATTTCCCTAGGGTCAGGTGTTTATGTGAAAAGACATCTATGTCTTATGAAGTTTATTTTGGGTTGATAAAAATGTTTAAAATTATATTATGGTGATGGCTTCAAAACTCTGTAAACATACTAAAAATATTTACATTTTATACTCTAAACAGGTGAATTGTATGCATTGTAAATTACATCTCATTATCAAATCTATTAATATAATGATAATATAAAAGTAAATATTTGAGTAAGAAACAGGAATACATTCAGAAATTTTAAGAATTGAATTTAAATATTTTATCATATTTCTAAGTTCATTATTCCTTTTAACTGTGAATTCTGTCTTGTTTTTTAGAATTTATCTTTTTTTATACTTATCTATATATTGGAAGTTATTTCATAGAGAACATTTTTGCACTAATTGTTTACTCATTAAATTTATTAGGTTCAATGCAACTGTGAAATAACAGTCTAGTGGAAATAAAAGCAGATTTCACATTGGTTTAATAATTGAAATTCTTTCAAAGTTAATCTACTAAAAAAGGGATTTAGTTTACTTATTGTTGACATGAGAACTTATCTATAAATACCACTTATTAAAAGAATTAGTGTACTCACATAGGGTCATTAATGACTGTCTTCAAAGCACTGAGCAAATCTGTACTTGACATTGTGTTGAAGTCCACTCTAACAGCTGCTCCCTTGGCCTTCATGTGGGCAATGTTGTCTGGTTGATCCCCAAACAAAGGGATGCCCACCATGGGGACCCCGTGGTAGATGGCCTCATAGACGCCATTGGCTCCACCATGAGTTATGAAAGCCTTGGTTTTTGGATGACCTAGAATTGGGTGAATATCAGTAGAATTATTCACTATGAGTCTTAGAAATAAAATGGGAAATGCACAACACAGGACACTGAAAGTGGTAATGTTTTCTAGGTAACAGGTTAGAACACCCACGACACTGCCCTGAAATTGCATTTCAGAGGAGGAAGCACCTAAGTTTGCTGGAGAGGAAAGTGAGGCCTGCATGGAAGAAATGGTGTGGGAAGGGAGAATGGAAATATGGATACAAGACTAGTGAGCAGAAAAGATGAAAAGACACATTTTGGGTGAAAGAAATAAAATGTGTGAAATATAAAAAAGGAAGAAGACAAGGAAATGACTGGGCAGGTATTCATAAAAACACGTTCTCTGAAAGCAACATGCAGTGAGGGAGTCTGACATGCGAGTGCCCAGGGCACAGGGAGAGTGCTGGGAGCAGGGCTGGCGTCAGAGGAAGGACAGGCCACACTTCTCTGTGGAGGTGTCGTCACAGTGTAGTGAAGACCGGGATTTATTCCCATAGAAAATGCAGAGTCACTGGCAATAGAAGAGCAACTGTTCTTGTTCAGTGTCATGTGAAATTATCCTGCAGTAGAGGAAAGGACAGGGGTGAAGTTGTAGAAGTAGAAACAGAGACAACCCAGCAAGCTATTGAAAAATTCTCCGAGAGGCAATTACACCTGAAATAAGGATATTTTGTTTTCGGACATAAAGAATATGAGTGCATGTAACAAAATGCCAACTTGCTATAGTGTATTCTTTTCCCCAGGATTAGAAAATAAATATAAAGTTGTCAGGTTTTATTTTTTGGTGTTCAAAAATAAATATTCAGTATGTTAGCTGCTTTTGACCTACTATCACTCTAATTGGCTGTTACACATATATTCAGTTTGTTTTTTCTCCAGTATCTTACCAAGAAGGTCATTCTGGGGCATCCACTTGAACAGCCGAGTATTGGGTCCTAAGGTATCTGGTTTCTTGCCATCAAATCTCCAAAGAACCTGTTAGGGTAGAGAAAAATACCTTGTTCCATGGGCAATACTCCAAAGTTATGGCATGTTAAAACTTGAAAGAGATTGTCAATTATTCAGTTAAACCCTTTCCATATAAAAGAAGAAGAAATGAGAACAAGGTTGTTAAGTAATAAGAACTACTAAAACTCTGAGGTAAATAGAATAACTGGATTTCATGTGCTTACTGTTATAATTAATTTGGTATCTAAGGAAGTCTAAGTAACTCAGAGACATTATATTTTCAATGATATATGCAAATACTTAAGAAATCATTGGATAGTCAAGGTACTTCTTATCAAGTTATCATCTTATCTTATCATCTTATAAGGTTAATATTAATGTGTTTTTCCAAATATTTTATTTTTAATTATTTTGGACACACAATAGTTGTAATTGTGTATGGGGTACATGTGATGTTTTGATACAGGCTAACAGTGTGTAATTATCAAATCATGGTAATTGTGGTATCTGTCACATCAAGCATTTGAGTAATATGAGTAATTATTTATATCTACTAGTCCCATAAGTAATTTCATTAGAGTTAGACATTATTTGATTTACAAAACAGCAAATCAGTAAGATCAGCTACTTGTCAAAAATATATCAAGGCTGCATTGGTAGTATGCATGATACTGTTAGGATATAAATTATCAAGCACTTCTCCCAAGCAAAATTTTAAGTGTCAATTTTTGACAAAAACTTGGAGTGTTATTATTATTTGTAGTCCTGAAAATTCTTACAATGCAGAAAAGTGGAGCTGTTGGTTAGTTGAAAAAGACTAAAGTGGTATTTTGCTAAATTTTGCTTACTAGATCATTAACACTTTGATCACAGGCTACAGCAGTGATTCATATGGTCACTATAACTAAGCCATTTCCAAGCCCACTACCCGAATAGCTACTGATTGCAGAATTCCCAGGTAGTCCTTATAAACTTGAGTTTAATTTAGGGGTGATTATCTCCAACTTGCTAAGTGAATATTACACTAATTTCGAGTTTTCAGCAAAAAAGTAGCACAGATCATTAGGAGACATCTATGTCAGATAGAAAACTAAAAAGTAACTCATGAATACACATAGACTGCAAGTGTATTCTGTATATTAGTAAATAAGTTCCTACTATATTTTATGGAAGGGGCATCTGAACCTCTTTGCAATTCTGGCTTCCTTCTGATTGACTCCTTCCTTTATTCCATTCTCCTCCTCAATCAGGAGGAGAAGTTAATCTGGTGATTGGAGTAGAATTGTGGTGGGGCCACGTTTTATAATGCACAGGTGCTACTGCAAGGGCAGGATCCCATCTGCATCTCTTCATTACACTCAGGCCTGTCTAGCGAGGCAGGAAAGGTTTTCTCTTTTTGTAAATCTACTCAGCTAAATGGGTATCTGGAGTAGTGATTTTTCAGCGTAGGATCTAATTCTTTCTTTGATCAGAACCGTGTACAGCACACTGAATAGGCACATTCCTATAAAGTTGATTCCAACTTTATAGGAAGGTGCTTGCTTCGGCAGCATATATACCGAATTCATAGGAAGTACCAAAGGTTAGATCGCATGGGAAGCCTAAACTGCAATGCATTGCAGACTTTTCTCAATACCTGCTTATTGTTATTGTGCTAGTGCAGATACTCATTAAAATTTAACTCCTTTCCAATGATATCTATATTGTGTACAGAGCCTTCAGAAACTCTGTTAGCAATAGGATCAAATGACACATAGAATTTGGTGATTTTCTGTACATTCTTGCAATACCACGATAATACCAAAACTTTTCTGCACTCTTAAGTATGTTTGTTTATGACCACAATGTTAATGTCAAAGTTATTAAAAATGAAAATCGACATTGTTACCATTTTAGCATCTTCCATATATATTTTAGTTTTTGAGCTGATATCTGAGATAAGTAGAGCTATCCTAACAGTTAACCTTTTGGACAGAAGCTTATGCAG